GCTGCGATGAATTTTTATTGTTTATTGTTGTTCTTGTATTGCTCCAGGTGCCACTCGATAGGGTTGAGTGAATTTGACTAATGATTGTTGAATGTATGTCTACCTAATTTCTGCATCTCCTATATAGAACAAGAGCGTCCTTGACCACAGATATTGTGGGTTCCTCTGTCACGTCCACGCATATCTGTAGACAAGCTTGGTGCCTAGCCTTTAACCAGGTCTTGAAAGAACAAAGCATTTTAAGGAAATGGTGACTTTCGGCAGTGGCGGTGCAGTGCTCACGCCTGTAATCCCAGCACTTTGGGGAGGGGCCAACGTGCAGGCAGATCACAAGTCAGGAGATAGAGACCGATCCCCTGCTGCAGGGTGAAAAACCCGGTCTCGTACTAAACAAATACGAAAAAAAATTAGCCCAGGGCGTGGTGGCAGGACGCCTGGTGAGTGCCAGCTACTTCAGGAGGGCTGAGGCAGGGGAGAATGGGCGTTGAACCGGGAGGGTGGAGGCTTGCAGTGAGGCCGAAGATCACGACCACTGCACTCCGAGGCCTGGAGCGACAGGGGTGGAGACGTCTGTCTCAAAAAAAAAAAAAAAAAAGAATTGTGATTTGACAGTATCTATTACAATATAAAATGAGCATAGGAGTTGACTGAGCAACTCCTTTATTTCCATTTCTAGAAATAAAATATAAAACGTGTTCACAACTATGGAAAAAGAACTACAGGCTGTGGCTCACACGTATAATCCCACTTTGAGGGGCCAAGGCAGAAGAATTGCTTGAGCCCAACAGTTTGAGACGAGCCTGGGCAATATAATGGGACCCCATATCTATTTAAAAAAATTCTCCAGACATGATGGTGCATGCTTATAATAGTCCCAGCTACTTGGGAGGCTGAGACAGGAGAATCACTTGAGCCAAGGAGATTGAGGCTGCAGTGATTGCACCACTGCACTCCAGTCTGGGTGACAGAGGGAGACTACATCCCAAAAGAAAAAAGAGGGCCAGGCGTGGTGGCTCACACCTGTAATTACAATACTTTGGGAGGCCAAGGCTGGTGGATCACCTGAGGTTGGGAGTTTGAGACCAGCCTGACCAACATGGAAAAACCCTGTCTCTACTAAAAATACAAAATTAGCTGGGCATGGTGGCATATGCCTGTAATCCCAGTACTCCGAAGGTTGAAGCAGGAGAATCACTTGAACCCGGGAGGCAGAGGTTGTGGTGAACTGAGATCACGCCATTGTACTCCAGCCTGGGCAACAAAAGCGAAACTCTGTCTCAAAAAAAAAAAGGAGTACATCCAAGGGTGTTCACTGTAACACTCTTTATAATTGTGAAAAATTGGAAACAGATAGCCAGGCGCAGTGGCTCACACCTGTAATCCCAGCACTGGGAAGCCAAGGCGGGTGGATCACAAGGTCAGAAGTTTGACACCAGCCTGCCCAATATGCTGAAACACCGTCTCTACTAAAAATACAAAAATTAGCCAGGCATGGTGGCATGCACCTGTAGTCCCAGCTACTCAGGAGGCTGAGGTGGGAGAATTGCTTGAACCCGGGTAGCGGATCTTGCAGTGAGCTGAGATTGCACCACGGCACTCCAGCCTGGCTGACAGAGTGAGACTCCATCTCAAAACAAAACAAAATAAAATTGGAAACAGATGACTTGCAATTGGAGACTGCTCAAATACGATACATTTATACTGTTAGAAACTCAGAAAGGTTACAGCACTGTCAAAAGGGCAGGCTCTGGATTCAGATGGCTAGGGTTAGTATTTTAGCTTGGACTGGCATGGTGGCTCACGCCTGTAATCCCAGCACTTTGGGAAGCAGAGGTTGGTGGATCACTTTAGGTCAGGAGCTCGAGACCAGCCTGGCAAACATGGTGAATCCCCGTCTCTACTAAAAATACAAAAATTAGCCAGGCATGGTGGTGAGTGCCTGTAATCCCAGCTACATAGGAGGCTGAGGCAGGAGAATCGCTGGAACCCGGTAGGTCAAGGTTGCAGTCAGCCATGATTGTGCCACTACACTCCAGCCTGGGCAACAGAGCTAGACGCTGTCTCAAAAAAAAAAAAGAATTTTAGTTTGATCACTTCTTTGTGAAATGGGGATAGTAATAGCACCTTCTATTAAGTGAAAAAAGCAGCAGAATGATACTTGCAATAGCCTGTTACTAATGAAAAGCTTTGTGTAAATGTGTATGTGGATAGCTACAAATAGAGACATGTACTGAATTTATTTATTTATTTATTTTTTAAAATTTTTTTGAGACAGAGTCTCGTTCTGTCACCCAGGCTAGAGTGCAGTGGAGCGATCTCAGCTCACTGCAACCTCTGCCTCCTGAGTTCAAGCAATTCTCCTGCCTCAGCCTCCCGAGTAGCTGGGACTACAGGCGCCCACCACCTCGCCCGGCTAGTTTTTTGTATTTTTTAGTAGAGACAGGGTTTTGCCATGTTGGTCAGGCTGGTCTGGAACTCTTGACCTCAGGCGATCCACCCACCTTTGCTTCCCAAAATGTTGGGATTACAAGTGTGAGCCACCACGCCTGGCCCCTATCCTATTTTTATCACTTGAGTATATCCCAAATACCTTTCCTTGTCAATAGGTGCCTTAGTACGGCATTTTTTTTTCCCCTTTTTTTTGAAGACAGGTTCAGGCTCTGTCCCCTAGGCTGGAGTGCAGTGGCCGGATCCCTTGCTCACTGCAGCTTCCACCTCCTGAGTCTTAAGTGATCCTCCCACCTCAGCCTCCTAAGTAGGTATATAAGCACATTCAGCTAACTTGTATTTTTTGTAGAGATGGGGTTTCACCGTGTTGCCCAGGCTGGTCTCCAACTCCCAGGCTCAAGTGATCCACCTGCCTCGGCCTCCCAAAGTGCTGGGATTACAGGCGTGGGCCACCACGCCCGGCCAAAACATTTTTTTTTTTTTTTTTTTTTTTGTAGACATGGAATCTCACTGTTGGCCCCAAACTGGTCTCCAACTCCTGACCTCAGGCGATCCACTCACCTTGGCTTCCCAAAGTGCTGGGATTACAGGCTTGAGCCACCATACCCCACCACCCAGTATGATTTATTTTATTTTTTTTTGGTAAAGTGAAAGCAAGTTTATTAAAGAAGTAAATAAACAAAGGAGGCCAGGAGCGGTGGCTCACGCCTGTAATCCCAGCACTTTGGGAAGTCGAGGAGGGCGGATCACGGGGTCGAGAGATCCAGACCATCCTGGTCAACATGGTAAAACCCTGTCTCTACTAAATATACAAAAATTACCATCCGGGTTAACACAGTGAAATCCCGTCTGCTGACTTTAGAAATTACACAAAAAGATTAGCCGGCCGTTGAGTGCGGGGCGCTGTAAGTCCCAGGCTACTGGGGAGGCTGAGGCAGGAGAATGGCGGTGAATTCAGGAGGCGGAGCTTGGCAGTGAGCCGGAGAGCGCCACTGCACTCCAGCCTGAGCGAGAGAGCGAGACCGGTCTCAAAAAAAAAAAAAGAAGAAAAAAAAAAAGCCGGGCGCGGTGGCCGAAGCCTGTAACCCAGCACTCTTGGGAGGCCCGAGACGGGCACACGGGAGTCAGGAGATCAGACATCCTGGAACACGGTGAAACCCGTCCTTTACTAAAAATACAAAAAACTAGGCCGCGTGGGGGTGGCGGCGCCGTAGTCCCAGCCTCGGGGGGCTGGAAGGCCGGAGAAGGCGTGGAACCCAGGAGGCGAGCTTGCGAGGAGCTGAGATCCGGCACACGGCCACTCCAAACCTGGGCGGCAGAGCGAGGATCCGGCCTCAGAAAAAAAAAAAAAAAAAAAAAAAAAAAATTAGCTGGGCGCCGGTGGTGCGCGCCTGTAGTCCCAGCTACTTGGCAGACTGAGGCAGGAAAAATCACTTGAACCCGGGAGGCGGAGGTTTGCCAGTGAGCTGAGATAGCGGGCCTCTCTCACTGCACTCCAGCCTGGGCGACAGAGCAAGACTCTGCCTAAAGAAAAAAAAAAAAAAAAAAAAAAGAATTGCTACTCCACAGGCAGAGCAGTCCACCCGGAATTTTTTTTTTTTTTTGTTTTTTTGAGACGGAGTCTTAAACTCTGTCGCCCGGGTTGGAGTGCAGTGGCGCGATCTCGGCTCACTGCAACCTCCGCCTGCCGAGTTCAAGCAATTGTCCTGCCTAAGCCTCCCAAGTAGCTGGGACTACAGGCGCCTGCCATCATGCCGGCTAATTTTTTTTATTTTTAGTAAAGCCGGGGTTTCACCATGCTGCTGTGGCTAGTCTCGAACTCCTGACCTCGTGATCTGTCCTCTTCGGCCTCCCAAAGTGCTGGGATTACAGGCGTGAGCTACTGTGCCCGGCCACCCGGCATGATTTTTAATGGCTTTCTACATTGTATGGTTTGTTATTGTTGCTTTGTGATAGGGTCCATTATCACCGATGCTGGACTGCAGTTGTGCAATCTCGGCGCACTGCAGCCTCGACCTCCTCGGCTCAAGCAATCCTATATCACCTCAGCCCCCTGAGTAGCTGGGACGCACAGGCGTGTGCCACCTCGCCCAGCTAATTTTTAGTTTTTTTTGTTTTTGTTTTTGTTTTTTGTAGAAAGAAGGAGGGGTCTCACTACATCAAATTCTTGGGCTCAAGCGATCCTCCCACCTTGGTTTCCCAAAATGCAGGGAATGCAGGCATGAGCCACAGCGACCGGCCATCACAGGTGTCTTAAATGCGTATATACGCGAGTCCAGTATGGTTGGAAATGATTTGATTTGTTGTCTATGGAATTGCACACCCTGGAGCCTTCCTAACATCAGCGGCTTCACATTGGCATTTCCACTGTGGTGCAGCAACAATCTGAGTTCTAGCCACACCATTTGACAACCGGTCCCAGAAGGTAACTGGAAGTCATGATGACAACTCCTATAGTGTGAAAAGAAACTGCAAGCAAGGCAGTTAAGATGCAACCTTGCACGGTGACGGTAAGTCGAACTGGGCGGCGAACGAGGCCGCGGCGGGGGAAGCGAAAGCGTGGTATGGTTGCGGCTCTGGGGCCACCCGGCGACCGCCTCGGGGTGTAGGCAGAAATTCCCGGCCCAGCTCCCCTCAGACCAGATAGCGGCCGGGAAACAATGGTTCTTTAGACATTCCACCGACGCCAGGATGTCTTCTCCGTGCCCGATCCCGGAGTACACAGTGAAATGACAAGGCGGTGAGAAACGCGTTGGTTAAGAACATCTCAACGGGAGACGCTGGTAGGCGAATGGTGGCATCAGACGCGGTCGGCACCTGCCGTACCCTAGTCAGACTATGGGTCAGAGCGCTAAATTGCAAGGAGGCGGCGCTAAAGAGGCCCTCTAACCAGGAGCCAGTCGCGACCTGAGCGACCGTGGGTCGACCCCGATCCGGAAGTGACGCAACGGCGCCAAGTACTTCCGGAGCTGCGGGGACGACTCTTCTGGAGGAAGCAGCACGGGCTTGACCGGCGTCGGCCCGCCGCCTCTGCCGCCGCTTCTCCCCAATCCAGTCCCTCTGGCCCGGCCTGACCCGGTCTGGCTCGTCCGGGCTCAGCGGCCGCGAGGCCGCAGCTCCCGGTAAGTGCGCAGCGCATGTCGCGGCCTTGTTTACTTTGGCGGGCAGCTGGGGGGGCCTCTCAGCCAGCCTCCCCGGCCGGGCCGGGACTCCGCCTTCGCCGTCGCCCGGGAGGCCCGGGCACCCCCCACCGCCGGTTCGCTGTCCGAGCATTACCCGCCGTCAGCGGAGGGACCGCCGGGCGCCCAGCGTTGTGTCTGCCTTTTTTCCTCCCGCCGTCTTCTCAGCTCGCGGAAAGGTCAGAGGCCACCGCCTCTGACCAACCAGTGCCGGCACATCTAGGCCCTCCCTGTCTGGCGCGGCGGGGAAACGCACGGCCTCGGGGCTCCCCGCTCGAGTCCTGTTTGGGAGCTCTCGCAGCGCTGCCCGCGCGGTTTAACGCCCGCCTGTGGAGGGTATCCCCAGCTCGTGGGCTCCGCGTCCGCGCGAATATCCCGGAGCCCGCGGCCCCTCGGGATGTGCGGCCCCGGAACTGTGTCGCCGCCTCGCCTGAAGCTGCTTGGGCAGCCACGTTCTTGGATGACTTCGCCTTCGTACTATTCATTGCCCAGTCCCATAGAACTTTCTGTCATAGCGACATTTCTATACCTTTGCTGTTCAACATGATAGCTATTAGCCACACGTGGCCGTTAAGCATTTGATCTGTAGGCTAATGCACCTGAGAAACTAAATTTTAAATTTTACTTAATTTTTAAGTGTAATTAAATTTAAATAACCGCATGTGCCTTGTGGTCACCGTATTAGAAAAGACAGATATAGAGTGTAGGATTTTGAAACGAAATTGCTGATTTCTAGTTTTGTGCCAAGTAGTTTTTCTTCGTAAGTGTAGTTGGGAATGACCATTCAGCGCTAGTGATCATATCTGGAGTAAACGTCATCAGACT